TGCTTTGTTTCTGTGATGGATCATGGAGAATTATGGACTGTAAATCCATCAAAGTTGTTGCAAAGTTCATTTGTTTATCCTTCTTTATGGCTGCATAATATTCCATTATTTATATGTACCATATTTTATTCATCAGTTCAGTTTTGATGGACAACACAGTTGGTTGGTTCATGGTTTTGCTATTGTAAATAGTGCTGCAGTAAACATGCATGTGCAAGTACCTTTATCATAGAATGATTTGAGTTTCTCCAGGTATTTTTCCAGTAGGGGTATTGCTGGGACATATGGAAGATCAATTTCTAGTTCTTTTAGAAATTGCCTCACTATTTTCCATAGAGGTTGCACTAATTTACAGTCCCATCAGCAGTGTAGAAGTGTTTCCTTTTCTCCACATCCTGGCTAGCATCTGTTTTTGTTGTTGTTGTTGTTGTTGTTGTTTTTATTAATGATGGCCATTCTTACTGGGTTTAGGTGGTATCTCAATGTGATTTTGATTTGCTGATGATTTGGGAGGCTGAGCAATTTTTCATGGGTCTGTTGGCTCCCCTATGTCTTCATTTTAGTAGTGTCTATTCATGTCTTTTGTCTACTTTTTAATAGGGTTGTTTGTGTGTTATTTTTCCTTTCACACTTTTATTGTAGATCCTGGTTCTGCAATATACAGTTGGCAATTTTTTTTCCATTCTGTGTGTTATCTCCCCACTCTCTTGGTGGTTTCTTTTGCTTTGCAGAAGATTTTCAGTTTAATGAGTTCCCATTTGTCTATCTTATCTCTTATGGCAAGGACATCTGGGGTTTTGATCAGGAAATGGCTGCCTACCCCGACTTCTGTAAGTGTGTCTCCAGAGTTTCCTGATTCTTATAGCTTGAGATTGTATATTAAGGTCTTTGTTCCATTTAGAGTTGATTTTTGTGTGTGTTGATAGGTAGGGGTGCTGTTTCAATCTTCTGCATGTCATCAACCAGTTTTCCCTGGACTGTTTGCTGAATACACTCTCCTCCCCCCAGTGGTTGTTAGTGGAGGCCTTGTCAAAGATGAATTGTTTGAGACATTGAGGTTTTGCTTTTGGAATCTCTATCCTGCTCTATTGATCTATATGTCTGTTCTTGTACCAATATCAGGGTGTTTTGATTATAGTAGCCTTATAATAAACTTTAAATCTGAAGTGTGATACCTCCCACTTTGTTTTTGTTTTTGTTTTGTTTTTTGCTCAGGATTGTTTTGGCTGTTTGTAGTCATTTATGTTTCCATATGAATTGTCATTTCCAGGTCTGAGAAGAATGATGTTGGTAATTTAATGGGTATTGTGTTGGATCTGTAGATTGCCTTTGGTAGAATGGACATCTTAAAATGAAGATGCCAAGGTCTTTCTTTCTTTCTTTCTTTCTTTCTTTCTTTCTTTCTTTCTTTCTTTCTTTCTTTCGTTTTTGTGGATATTATGAATGGGACTGTGCTTTTATTTGGTTCTCTGCCTGCTCGTTGTAGGTGTATAAGAATGTGACTGTATTTTGCACATTTATTTTCTACCCTGGGACTTTGCCAAAATCCTTTGTGAGTGAAAGGATGTTTTTGACAGATTCCCTTGTAGTTTTGAGGAATAGGATCATGTCATCTCTTGGTAATTCTTAATGTCACTCAATATACAGACCATATTTAAATTTCCCCAATTGTGTCATAGATATTGTCTAGTTAGTTTCAATCGAGTCAAACCAATTTGGTTGTTTCAACTATGTTCCCTTAATTATGTAACAATTATTTGTGCAAGAACATGTATATGTGTGTTCAGGTCTTTTTTTTTTTTTTTTTTAATGAGCCCTATGTATAATGCTTCGTGCTCTATATTTGGCTTATTGCTTCATTTGGTGTAATTTAACTTGTTTTTGCTTCAACTAATTTAAACCCACAGAACAAGAATTTTTATTTGCTCTTGCTCATTCTTTTTATTTATTTTAGGCAAGAATTCTTCATAGATGTGTCTGACTACTGACAGTTGCAGCATGTTGGAAGGCACAAATTTTTGTGATGTTCATTCTGACCTGTGGATTCAGGCAGTGTGAACTTGATTACTTGGTTTTAAAATTCCCCATGAACATTTTGCCTAACAATTTTTAATATCCATTGAAATTATTACCTTGATTCATTTTTTAATTAAGAGGTCTAAAATTCTAAAATTGTGATTTTCTAATTCCATCCTTGTTTATGCTTTTATTTCTTCTAAACTCCCTCTTATCAACTTTTAGTAACCCTGAGATACAAATCATATAAGAAAAATAGAATAAATTGTTTATTTTCTTCAAGTATTAATTTTCAGAGTAATAAGTTTGCACCCAAGTAATCTTTGATAGTAACCAATGTTTTATTTTTTCTTTTTTAGTTCTAGATTTAAACATATTTGATGCCTATAAGACAATTGCAGCTAATAATTTGTTAAAATGTTGCAGCCATAAGCCAGTGGAAGCCATTTCAAATTGCTTTCTATGTCTCTTTGAGATAATTTGGCTAGCTGTTAACTGTATTCTTGCTTAATGGAAAATTAAACTGCTAAAGGCTTAACTTGTATATTTTTTTAACCCTAGATTTCAAATCAGCCATTTCTCCAAGAACATACAGTTCAGTTAAAGGAAAAAAAAGTTTTATCTTACAGAAATTTGGGAAATATTGGTATTTGTGCCTGTTAAGTTATAAATTTCAGTGATACTTGTTTTAAAAGAAGAATATTTTCTCATACTACATTTCTAATTTAAATTAAAATAAAAAGATTTTTATTTGCTTTCCCTTATTTTATAGCTATAACTCTTGCATGCAATATAGGTTTCAATTATATTTAAATAACTATTTATTTTACTGTTTTCTTTCATTTCTTCCTATCTTTATTACCTTTTTGTTTTACCTTTTTCTCTTCTTTTACATAATTTGACATTCTATAAAACCTTTTTGGGATATTGTTTTTTCACTTAGAGTATTCACTTATTTTCTTAGAGTATTTCACTTAGAGTATTTTCAGGAGGGCATCTCATAGCAGTATACAAAAAAACCTTCTTCTTTCCTTTTTCATAGTTCTTTGATGTGACTCATAGCTTATTTAATCAATCTTATATAACATTAAATAGCATTTATATTAAATTTAACAAGTCTGTTTTCATTATAAATAACGCTTGTGTATGTTATTTGCATTTTTTTACTATTCTATCTTCAAGATAGAGTCCTAGAACTACAGATGCTTTGAAAAAGGGTAAATATATATGTAATGTTAATAGCACTTCAAATAGCCTACTATATGCATTGTAACTTGTTACATCTCTACCCCAAACGTATAAAAATACCTGTTTATGCACAGCTTCACTTACAAGACGTGGCATTAAACTTTTGATTTCTGCCATTCTGAAAGGTGGGAAATGACAAATCAGGGCAGAGTTTAATTTTGATTCTATTGACATGAGTCAGGCAAACAACTCTTCTTCAAGTATTTAAAGTCAATTTGCATTTCTTTTACATAGACTAACTATCTTATGTCTATTATTCTACAGAATTGTCATTTTCTCCTCTACTATATTTAATATAAGTAGAGATTTTTTTCTCAGTTTTTCATTTATTTTAAATTTTCTGTTGTTTTTGCGAAGAAGGTTTTTGTATTCATGTAATCTAAATTTTAATCTTGCCTTCAAACTCTTTTGGTGTGTGGAATAAGAGAAAGATCTAATTTTATCTTTTTCATGACTGTTTATTTGCCATAATATGACACTTTATCATTTATGTTGCATTTTGTAGAGCTAACCATCCTATTAAATTTTGCTTTTTTTTTTTTTTTTTTGAGTTGGAGTCTCACTCAGTCGCCCAGACTGGAGCGCAGTGGCCACTCCCAGCCACCGCAGCCTTGACCTGCTGGGCTCCAGCGATCCTTCTGCCTCAGTCTTCCTAGTAGCTGGAACTACAGGTGCACGCTACCACGCCCGGCTGATTTTTTGATTTATTGTAGAGAAGAGGTCTCACCAAGTTGCCCAGGCGGGTCTCGAATCCGCAGGCTCAGGCAATTCACTCACCTCAGCCTCCCAAAGCCCAGGATTACAGGCTGAGACACCGAGCCCAGGTTAAATTTTGCTTTAACTTGGGGGATTTTTATCAGTTATTTGCGTTTGTTTAGTAATTCATATAAACAGCAGAAATGTTGAGTTATGATTCCTCAGTATTCTAAGGCAATATGTTTATTTATAGTAATTCTACATGAACTAGACAAAAACTTGTAAAGATTTCCAGATCTGAGAAAACTGGGAATGCTACCTTTTGAATAACAATATCCAAGTGCAACCTAGAAATAGTGGCATTATTCCAGTGATTCTTCCTTCTGAAGTATAAAATTAATTTTTATGATCTCTCATACTCACAGCCTCAGAAGTACTACAGAGAAGGGCACATGGATTTGATGCCAACAGTTGAGTCAACAATCTTACATCAGTCATTTTAATCATTTCTAGACTAGTTCTTTGAACCTCTTAATATCATCTGTGCAATGGATAAAATTATCCTTGTCCTATATATTTCTCAACATAATCAACTTGACTGATTCAAGTGCAAGGCTTTCTCTTTGTAGAATTCATGGAATTCTAGGAATAAAAGTGTCCAAAATGAAATATCCTCTTTTTATTGCACAGCATATCCTCCTGTATCTCTCAACAAGGACACAATGCTTCAGTCATACATCACAAATAGCTTCAAAGGCAAGGCATTCATTTCTATATGCATTAACAAATCAGAAAAACTTTTTCTCTGGAAAGTTAATATTCTTTCAATAGAATAATCTATTACACTTTGTAGTATTTCTGTATGCTTTAAAATAATTTAAAGAAATAGATTCTTTATGGATCAAAATCCTGTGAAATTTCTCTCAGAATTAATTTGAGCTTCTTTGAGGAACCTGAGCTTATCAATTTATGCATCAAAGTCATGTATTAAAATCTCATATAAATATATGCTATAAGTTGTAGAAATATTCTGTTGTTCACTAGGATTGAAAACACATTTTGAGATTGATTCTGGAAAAAGGGACTTTTGTAGCTATTAATTTCTGGAAGGAATCCTTCACATCTTTATTCCTCAGGGTATAGATCAGGGGTTCAGCATAGGGTTGACAACTGTATGAAACACAGAGGTCACTTTGACTGTGTGCCTGGAGTTTTTGGAGTTGGGAACACAGTAGAGTGAAAGTATGGTCCCATGGAAGATGGTGATGGTGGTCAGGTGGGCAGCTTTTTGGCTTCCACCAGCTGAACAGATTTTTAGTACAGTTACAAAAATAGCAAAATAGGAAGTGAGGATTATCAGTAGTGTACTCATCTCATTGAAGCCAAAAAGCAGCGGGTGTGGGATGTGTATGTCAGAAATCAGATAGCGTTGAGAGCAATATATTCACAAAAAAGTGGTTGATTACAGTACGTCCAGAAAAATTTACCTGGCTAGCGTAGCAAAGAAGTACCAAACATACCCTAGAGATATGACCCAGCTACAAGCAAGTCACAGAGCTTCTGTGACATGGCCACTGTATAAAGCAGAGGATTGCAGATGGACACAAAGTGGTCATAGGCCATCACCGCCAACAAGGACTCTCTCACCATAGCAGTGCAGTGTAGAAAGTACTGCAACATGCAGCTAAAGAAGAAGATGCTTTTTATCAGCCATGACCAAGTTTTCAAGCAGCTTGTGAGTGACAATGGAAGAGTAACAAAAATCAACAAAAGAGAGCCGGTTAAGCAACAAGTACATGGGGGTGTGAAGTTTGGGGTTTAACTTGATGATTACTATCATCCCAGGATTTCCTAACACAGTGATAATGTACATGATTAGAAAAATGAGGAAGAGAGGAATCTGGAGCTCTAGGTAATCTGTGAAAACTAAGAGGGCAAAGCCTTTCTTCACACACATTTCTTACAACCATCACCATAATTCCTTTCAAAGTTAGCGTGTGGTTGAAGAGAATTGTTTCTGTCAAAAGGAAGATGTATGGGGGTGAATGATAACATATCATAACTTCTTGTGGCTTAGGAAAAAAATGAGAAGGAAGAATTATTTGTCCTAGTTTTCTCCATGAGGCACATGCCTCATAGATACAGCTACTGTGTATGTACCAAGCTAGGTTGAGTCTCTGATATACCTTTGCATTTTATTGCACTTTTTGTTTTCATAAAAATATTTGCATTGTAGTGTATACATCCTAAAAATTAGCTAATAGTATAATATGCACATAACTGGCAGAAAATGATTGTACATAAATGCATAAACTAATGTAGATTCTGTGAAAAAATGTAAAATATTTGTCTCAAACAACAACATATGCTGCTGCTTTATTTTGCTTATATAGACAAATCAACAAAAATATTTAAAATGATATATTTTTATTCTCACTATAATATAAAATATTAGAAAAATCTAGAAAAAGCGTAGCAATTCCACTTGAGCAACTTGTTTTCTGTAGAGGCTACTCCTCTCGTTGAATATCTTAGTTGCACTGGAGTTGAGAAAGAAAATGGCTAATTTTGACCTCTGAGTAGATTGTACACTTTATTAGAGGTTCTGGCTTCAGGCTAGTGTCTACTATAGCTTACACATCATCTCAAGACTTATTAGGTAAGAGTTAACTCAAGACTAATCTGTTTCCATTCTTGTAAAAGTGTACATATCAATTAAGGTCCATTTGCAGAGAACATGGACAAACACACATTTCCAGGTGGCAAATATATTACTATTCTTTGTGAAATAGTTGTCAATGGATATAAGACCAATTATTTCCATGAGTGCTAACTCCTTTCTTTAATGTTATTAGATTCAGCGTTGAATGGCATATACAGTGATTTAACATGAAAAAATAGCATATCAAAAATATACTATTTTCAGTTTCATAGAAAATCTGAGTAAACTTATCTGCTACAGAGAAGCAGACCACCAGTCTCCTGTTTCTCTGTAGGCTGAATACACCTGGGACACTGAGGTTTTTGCATCTAAGTCTATAACCCCAGGGACTCAAACTCTGGAGGATCTCCAACAACTTATTCTTCACAGCAACAAAACAAAACAGCAACCCCAGGGACTCAAACTCTGGAGCCTCTCCAGCAATGCATTCTTCAAGGCAAGTATCAGGTCTCCTGCATCATCTTTAATGATGAATTTCCTTAATTACACAGAAAAATTGCAACATGAAGTTGAACAATAGGCTTTGCTTGGACATAAATAAATGCCCTATGTAACTAATAAAACTAAAATAATACCTAAATAACACCTCATTTGCTCCAAAATTCGAGTTTCTTTGAAATTTAGAGGCAGCAAATACCAATTTTAGGCAAATTGTTCCAAAAAGTGATCCAAAATCTGTCCATTTTTAGTGGGTCCCAAAACAAAAGAAAATTTGTAACAAATCTAGTCTTGTGTTACAAGCTACTGTGCTATTTGGGGCACATAACAGAGAATATATGACTAGCCTTGAAGTATATATGACCTGTCAGGGCAGTTCATATCTTTGGATAGGTCCTTATAATGAATTACAGATCAGACACTGAAGATTTTAGAGCAAAGCAATAACTTACTCTGCATGTAATTATTCCCCTTGTGAGAATAAGTTTCTGTATTTTTAAAAATAGACTCCAGTAGAAACTGAATGATTGAAAATAGCCAGCAAGTACCATGCAAACTGCACCTCCCATCATGAACATCCATCCAACAGTACTTCTCTTCCTAGAAGCAAGTAAGTTACATGATCAAGTGTTTCAAATGTCCATTTGAAGTGATTCAAATGGTCCATACTCTTGCTGTATTGTTTTCTCCTTTTCAATCTGAACTCATACCTCATGGGATATCCCTATGACAACCTAAATATGGCAGAAATCATAAGGGCATTATTTCCAGATGATTCTCCATGATATGCTGGCATGACACAGAAGTGAATATTTGCAGCATTATAATTCTGCTCTGGAGTAGACTTAAAAGACAGCAGTTAACAAAAATTATTCTAGTATTTAAAATTCAGAAAGTTTTATTACAATATTGGGATCACTTTAGAAATGTACTTATGGAATAAGTTCTGTGGCAATACTTTAGAGGAATGGAGTGCAACAAATCTACAACCAATATACATTGCTGTTTCTCCAATGATTTATGAGATCCAGAATTTATGGGTCCAAAATGTAAATGGAAGTGATTCTTTTACTTATCACCTTTGATGATCCACTAGCTAAATCTTTGCTTCCCTTAAGTGAAAGCATGAACTCTAGTAGTGTAAAGGCCATATCTCCCAAGGAAGATATGCTTCTACTAGCAAACATAGTGATGAATCCATTAAGTTGTAATTGTGATTTCCTTGACCAAAAAATGTGGGAGTGATATGAACTTTCTGAATTGAGGTATGAAGGTGTCTTAAAGTTCCAAATTTTATTTTTTAACATTTCTCTGAGATCACTACATAAGAAAACCAGTATAACCTACACGTGGATGAGAGAATACTTGGAAAATACTGAGACACCACAGCTAAAAACCAGCAACAAGTCACCTAACAAACAAATGATGGCATCTTGGAAGCATTGGGCCTAGCAGAGTCCTGAGGTAATTGTAGCAACATGAGTAAACCCAAGTGAGACAGGCAGTAGAACCATGTAGTTAGCACACAAAATGGTGAGAAATAACATATTGTTTTTAGCCACTAAGCTCTGGGGTGTTTTTCCTCAGCAAACAAAAAAAAATAACAAAAATATGTAGTAAGTTACAATTTCCATGTTTTGATTTGTTTATGAAATTAGTTGCAATATCCATTATTCCTATAAAGTTACACCCATGTGCTCAGGCCTGAATATGTGGTTGATTTTAATTGCATCAATTACAGAGAACAACCAAATATACAGAGAGATACACACACCCAGTTAAAGAGAAAGCAAAGATTATGTAAATCAACTTTTCTTTTTTGAGTTGGAGTCTCACTCTGTCACCGAAACTGGAGTGCAGTAGCCGCTTCCAGCCACTGCAGCTTCGACCTACTGGATTCTGGCGATCCTTCCGCCTCAGGCTTCCATGTAGCTGGAACTACAGGTGCGTGCTACCACGGCCGTCTAATTTCTTTTTTTTTATTGTAGAGCTGAGGGCTTACCAAGTTGCCCAGGTGGGTCTCGAACCCGCTCAGGCAATCTACTCACCTCAGCCTCCCAAAGCACGGGATTGCAGGCTGAGCCATCGAGCCCGGCTAAATCAATTTTCAATTCTAAACTTTATTATATATAAATGTTATAATACCTACTTTATTTCTGTAATTAATTATTATGATTACCAAAATATGCAAAAACTCAAATATGTATTTCCAAAATTTACATGAACAAATAGAATTTTCATACACAATATATCCACTGATGTGCTGATATTTCATTTAAAAAATTTGATCAAAGGAGTATGTTATATATGTAAGTAGTTGTGTGAGATAAAACAAAAAGAACACAAAAATATTCACAATAAATTACTCTATGTGTAGTAGAATTTTGCAAATTTTGGTGCCGTTGCACCAAAAGTAGTTTATTTCTGTTCTAGCTAAATCAAATTGTATGACTGTAACATATCTTAAACACTTACTTTAGCCAGGCTCGGTGGCTCAGCCTGTAATCCCATGCTTTGGGAGGCTGAGGTGAGTGGATTGCCTGAGCTCAAGGGTTCGAGACCCTCCTGGGCAACTTGGTGAGATCTCATCTCTACAATAAATCAAAAAATCAGCCGGGTTTGGTAGCGCATGCCTGTAATTCCGGTTACTCGGAAGGCTGAGGCAGAAGGATCACTGGAGCCCAGGAGGTCAAGGCTGTGGTGGCCGGGAGCAGCCACTGCACTCCAGTCTGGGCGACAGAGTGAGACTCCAACTCAAAAAAATAAATAAATAAATAAATAAAATAAAATAAAAACACTTACTTTATGTCTATTTAGGCTATTGTAATTTTTTTTGTCATTTTAAGCAATATGCAACTGAGCATTGTGATATATCTCTTCTTGTATGAATTTACTTAAATTTCACTAGAACAGTGATTTGACACAATTCTTCATGTCATAATATACACAGAAAATATTATTCATATAATACTCAAGAATAAACAGAAAATGGTTTGTTTCACATATTTTTTCAATATTACCCTCATTTTGTTTTCTCTTTTTCTAGTTAATTTTTATAGATATCTTTATATTATACATATTGATCTTTTGTCAGTTAAGTATGTTGCAAAATTTTTCTTTCATTCTCAGATTTCTCTTTTCAATGTGTTAATGACATCACGTGCTCTAACTTTAATGTAATGTTTCCCTTATTTTTCTTTCTGTGTCTTCAGAATGTTAGCCTATTCTGAAATTTTAAAAAATGATCCGGAGACGGGGCAAGATGGCGACGGCATAGGTGAACTGGTGAGATTCTCTGAACCCCTGTGTCTCTCTCTCACCTGATAGTTGGGACCAAGACTGCAAACTGCTGAATAGACAGACTGTAAAGCAGAGGGAAAAGTGAACAAAACCAGAAGACCCTCATAAGGAAGAACAGGTCATTGCAGAAGAGAAATAAAAGCAACCCCACCTTCCCTGAAAAACAGAATTGAAGAGGAGGAGGGAAAGGGGTAGAGGGAGAAAAATCTACAGAAATGAAGAAAAACCAAAAGAAGAGTATGGGTCTCTCCCAGACGCCTGGGAGAGCAGACACTGAGAAAACTGACTTTGGAATACAAACAATGAAAAGTCCCCAGAATGAAGGGTCTCAAACTGCAAATGTAGATATCAAAACAATAATGGAGAGATTAAAAAGAATTGAGGAGACACAAGAAGAAAC